ACCGGCAGGAAATGCACCCGTAAAACGCGTCCCCTGCCTAAAGCAAACACCTCGAGTGGTTTAAGGGGAAACATTTAAATGTCTTGGAATGGCCTAGTCAAAGGCCAGACCTCAATCCAATTGAGAATCTGTAGTATGACTTAAAGATTGCTGTACACCAGCGGAACCCATCCAACTTGAAGGAGCTGGAGCAGTTTTGCCTTGAAGAATGGGCAAAATTGCCAGTGGCTAGTTGTGCCAAGCTTATAGAGACATACCCCAAGAGACTTGCAGCTGTAATTGATGTAAAAGGTGGCTCTACAAAGTATTGACTTTGGGGGGGTGAATAGTTATGCACGCTCAAGTTTTCTGTTTTGTTGTATTATTACTTGTTTGTTTCACAAGCAAAAATATTTTGCATCTTCAAAGTGGTAGGCATGTTGTGTAAATCAAATGATACAAACCCCCAAAAATCCATTTTAATTCCAGGTTGTAAGGCAACAAAATAGGAAAAATGCCAAGGTGGGTGAATACTTTCGTAAGCCACTGTACACACACACTCAAACACAAACACACGTACATCCACCGCCCCTCCTTGAAGCAGGCATCCATCTTACATAAGGCTGATGGCTGATGACTCAGCAGTATTCACCCTGCTCTCCTCCATGTCTCCTCTGAGTCTCCCCCATGTCTCCTCTGAGTCTCCCCCATGTCTCCTCTGAGTCTCCCCCATGTCTCTGAGGCTCCTCCATGTCTCCTCTGATTCTCCTCCATGTCTCCTCTGAGTCTCCTCCATGTCTCCTCTGAGTCTCCCCCATGTCTCCTCTGAGTCTCCCCCATGTCTCCTCTGAGTCTCCCCCATGTCTCCTCTGAGTCTCCTCCATGTCTCCTCCATGTCTCCTCTGAGTCTCCTCCATGTCTCCTCTGAGTCTCCTCCATGTCTCCTCTGAGTCTCCTCCATGTCTCCTCTGAGTCTCCTCCATGTCTCCTCTGAGTCTCCTCCATGTCTCCTCCATGTCTCCTCCATGTCTCCTCCATGTCTCCTCCATGTCTCCTCTGAGTCTCCCCCATGTCTCCTCTGAGTCTCTCCATGTCTCCTCCATGTCTCCTCCATGTCTCCTCCATGTCTCCTCTGAGTCTCCCCCATGTCTCCTCTGAGTCTCCTCCATGTCTCCTCCATGTCTCCTCCATGTCTCCTCTGAGTCTCCCCCATGTCTCCTCTGAGTCTCCTCCATGTCTCCTCTGAGTCTCCCCCATGTCTCCTCTGAGTCTCCCCCATGTCTCCTCTGAGTCTCCCCCATGTCTCCTCTGAGTCTCCCCCATGTCTCCTCTGAGTCTCCTCCATGTCTCCTCTGAGTCTCCTCCATGTCTCCTCTGTGTCTCCTCCATGTCTCCTCCGAGTCTCCCCCATGTCTCCTCTGAGTCTCCTCCATGTCTCCTCTGAGTCTCCTCCATGTCTCCTCTGAGTCTCCTCCATGTCTCCTCTGAGTCTCCTCCATGTCTCATCTGAGTCTCCTCCATGTCTCCTCTGTGTCTCCTCCATGTCTCCTCTGAGTCTCCCCCATGTCTCCTCTGAGTCTCCCCCATGTCTCCTCTGTGTCTCCTCCATGTCTCCTCTGTGTCTCATCCATGTCTCCCCCATGTCTCCTCTGAGTCTCCCCATGTCTCCTCTGAGTCTCCCCCATGTCTCCTCTGAGTCTCCTCCATGTCTCCTCTGAGTCTCCTCCATGTCTCCTCTGTGTCTCCTCCATGTCTCCTCCATGTCTCCTCCATGTCTCCTCTGTGTCTCCTCCATGTCTCCTCCATGTCTCCTCTGAGTCTCCCCCATGTCTCCTCTGTGTCTCCTCCATGTCTCCTCTGAGTCTCCCCCATGTCTCCTCTGAGTCTCCTCCATGTCTCCTCTGAGTCTCCTCCATGTCTCCTCTGAGTCTCCTCCATGTCTCCTCTGAGTCTCCTCCATGTCTCCTCCATGTCTCCTCTGAGTATCATCCATGTCTCCTCTGTGTCTCCTCCATGTCTCCTCTGAGTCTCCCCCATGTCTCCTCTGTGTCTCCTCCATGTCTCCTCTGTGTCTCCTCTGTGTCTCCTCCATGTCTCCTCTGTGTCTCCTCCATGTCTCCTCCATGTCTCCTCCATGTCTCCTCTGAGTCTCCCCCATGTCTCCTCCATGTCTCCTCCATGTCTCCTCTGAGTCTCCTCCATGTCTCCTCTGAGTCTCCTCCATGTCTCCTCTGTGTCTCCTCCATGTCTCCTCTGTGTCTCCTCTGAGTCTCCTCCATGTCTCCTCTGAGTCTCCTCCATGTCTCCTCTGTGTCTCCTCCATGTCTCCTCTGTGTCTCCTCTGTGTCTCCTCCATGTCTCCTCTGTGTCTCCTCCATGTCTCCGCTAAAGGTCGATCCTCATCCATTCCCTCACGCCCACGTCACTACAACACACACAGCAGCAACACACAACAATCTGCTTTGTTCTCAGAAGAATGTGAAATCAGTTTGATATAGCTAATCATTGATATGTTTGATCATGAACTGTTTCCACAGAAGCCCTTAAAAATGTAGAATATCAGATGCCTACCAAGTTGATTGGGTCGTTAGGAAATCTATTCTCTGTAAAAAGCAGAGCAGCCATGAATTTGTTATCCTCACTGTGGGTTTGTAGGGATGGTGCCAATGAAACACAACAGCAGATTCCAGCAGAATGTTTTCAGTCTCTACCTGCATTAATCATCTCAACAAAATGTTTCAGTGTTTTGTCACAATGCTGCTACACACACTACCCACACAGTGTATTATACTGAGCCCTGAGACGGAGAGAGAGACAGAGACACACAGAGAGACACAGAGACACAGAGAGAGAGACAGAGACACACAGAGACACAGAGAGAGAGAGAGAGAGACACACACAGAGACACATAGAGACACAGAGACACAGAGACACACAGAGAGACACAGAGAGAGAGACAGAGACACAGAGAGAGACAGAGACACACAGAGAGACACAGAGACACACAGAGAGACACAGAGACACACAGAGACACAGAGAGAGCGACAGAGACACAGAGAGACACAGAGACACAGAGACACAGAGAGAGCAACAGAGACGCACAGAGACACAGAGAGAGAGACAGAGACACACAGATATGCACAGAGAGACACAAAGACACACAGAGAGACACAGAGACACACTGAGACGCACAGAGACACACAGAGACACACAGAGACACACAGAGTGACAGAGAGACACAGAGACAAACAGAGAGACACCGAGAGACACAAAAACACAGAGAGACACAGAGAGACACAGAGACACAGAGACACAGAGAGCCACAGAGACACAGAGAGACACAGAGAGAGAGACACAGAGACAGAGACACACAGAGAGACACAGAGACACAGAGAGAGAGACAGAGACACACAGAGAGACACAGAGACACAGAGACACACAGAGACGCACAGAGACACAGAGAGACACAGAGATACACAGAGATACAGAGACACACAGAGAGACACAGAGACACTCAGAGACACAGAGAGAGCGACAGAGACACAGAGAGACACAGAGACACAGAGACACAGAGAGAGCAACAGAGACGCACAGAGACACAGAGAGAGAGACAGAGACACACAGATATGCACAGAGAGACACAAAGACACACAGAGAGACACAGAGACACACTGAGACGCACAGAGACACACAGAGACACACAGAGACACACAGAGTGACAGAGAGACACAGAGACAAACAGAGAGACACCGAGAGACACAAAAACACAGAGAGACTCAGAGACACAGAGAGACACAGAGACACAGAGACACAGAGAGCCACAGAGACACAGAGAGACACAGAGAGAGAGACACAGAGACAGAGACACACAGAGAGACACAGAGACACAGAGAGAGAGACAGAGACACACAGAGAGACACAGAGACACAGAGACACACAGAGACGCACAGAGACACAGAGAGACACAGAGATACACAGAGATACAGAGACACACAGAGAGACACAGAGACACAGAGACACAGAGAGAGAGACACATATACACAGAGACACAGAGAGACACAGAGACACAGAGAGCCACAGAGACACAGAGAGACACAGAGAGAGAGACACAGAGACAGAGACACACAGAGAGACACAGAGACACAGAGAGAGAGACAGAGACACACAGAGAGACACAGAGACACAGAGATACACAGAGACGCACAGAGACACAGAGAGACACAGAGATACACAGAGATACAGAGACACACAGAGAGACACAGAGACACAGAGACACAGAGAGAGAGACACATATACACAGAGACACAGAGAGACACAGAGACACAGAGACACAGAGAGACAGAGACAGAGAGAGAGACACAGAGAGACACAGAGAGACCACACAGAGACACAGAGACACAGAGAGAGAGAGAGAGACAGAGAGACACAGAGACACAGAGAGACACAGAGACACACAGAGAGACACACAGAGAGACACAGAGAGACAGAGAGAGAGAGACAGAGAGACACAGAGACACAGAGACACAGAGAGACACCGAGAGACACAAAAACACAGAGAGACACAGAGACACAGAGAGACACAGAGAGAGAGACACAGAGACAGAGACACACAGAGAGACACAGAGACACAGAGAGAGAGACAGAGACACACAGAGACGCACAGAGACACAGAGAGACACAGAGAGACAGAGAGACACAGAGACACACAGAGACACAGAGAGACACAGAGATACACAGAGAGAGAGACACAGCGACACAGAGAGACAGAGAGACACAGAGAGACACAGAGACACAGAGAGACACAGAGACACAGAGACACACAGAGACACAGAGAGAGAGAGAGAGAGAGAGAGAGAGAGAGAGAGAGAGAGAGAGAGAGAGAGAGAGAGAGAGGAGAGAGAGAGAGAGATTCTCCATTGAACTTGCTTTTTAGTCCAGGCTTATTCTGTGTCTGGGAAAAACCACCACAGTAAGTTTTTAGACCTTAATTTAACCAGAAAAGTTAAAGATGGTGCCAGGTGTGATGTGAAATATTAGCCCTCTGACAGAGAAGGGAACAATTTTGTGACTCGATGGAGAAGTTGTCTTCGTTCCAGGATATAGTGTAAGTCCGGTTTAACTGACTGACCACAGTGCTGAATCAGACATCGAACAACTGGAGTGGGTTGGGGAAGAAAATGCACCTGTGATAAAATGTTCCAAGATGGCCACCGAGAATCCGAAATGTTACCCTATTTCATATGTAGTGGACTACGTTTGACCACTATATAGAAGGTGCCATTGATTTCAGACACAGCTTAGAGCCTACATCCTGACTGTGTTAGACAGTTATATTTATTTCTGGGAGGTAAGAGGGTAAGTAATATCCAGAGAGAGAACGGAGAGGAATAAGGTATGAATTATGAATGACTGCCAAGGGTGTGTGTATCTGGGGGGGACGTGTGTGTGTGTGTGTGCGCGTGTGTGTGTGTGTGTGTGTGTGTATGTGTGTCTGTGTCTGCGGGTTGGATGGAACTGCTGACGGATCGTTTTCCAAAAAGATGCTGGATCAGGTTAAGTTACACCAGACAGGGATGATATCCAGCCTGTAATAACACTCGTCCTCAGAGTTGACTCAGGTATTAATCTGTCCGTCGGCTACCTCTCCCTATTTCCTATCCAGACAGACGTCACTTCCTCCTCTTCTATTAGTTATTCCTGATGTACTGGTGTGGGTGTGGCCCATACGAATAAAATAAAGTAGATCGTTTTTCTTCTTTACAAACCCTCACATGATCAAAAGTCCCTCAGTAATGAGTAATGAAAAGTAATGAACAACATCGAGTCTCTGTGTCATTTGGATTGACTCCAAGGTAGGAGGAGGGAACATCAGGGAATATTTCAGCTAAGAACTGAAAATTAATTGCAGGCAACAACACACACACGCGCGCACGCACGCACACGCGCACGCACACGCACACGCACACGCACACGCACACGCACACACACACACACACACACACACACACACACACACACACAGACACACACACACACACACACACAAACAGCTGGTCGGCTTTTCTCAAACTGCAAGCAGGACAATCCAAGTGAGGGTGGACAAGGACATATGTTAGAGAGATAATTAATGGGACTAAATACTACCAGGAGGGCATTAGTTTCCTATCCAGCTAATATCTACTGCTGTCAGATGTCTGAGGGATTACACATGGCCCCTACAAGCCACCGTACATTTTAGGGGAATCTATGTGCTTTTACAGCATTATGCAGTCTATGAAGTGGGATCGTTTAAAGGGGAATCCAACTGTATTTTAAGTTGAGGGCTTCATTGGATTGGAGAGAGAGAGAGTGAGAGACCAGTTCCTCTTCTATGAGGGATGCCATATCAGAATAAGCGTGACTCAATAAAGATGTAACAACAAAACACAACAAAACAAACAGCCTTTGTGTTTCTCTTCAGAGCCTCCCAGTGGGCTGCCTTGCCCTCGGCCCTGTCTCTCCCATGCGTCCCAAATGGCACCCTCTCCCCTATATAGTACACTACTTTTGACCAGAGCCTGTGCACTAAATAGGGAATAGGGTGTCATTTGGGACAAGGCCTCTGCATCTCTCCAGGAAGGGATGCTCCAGGTCTGGTTGTCTTTCTATTGGAACCATTCAGCAGGAGACATGGCTCAGGGGACGTCATTAGAGGGGCTGGCTGCAGTGTGCCATTTCAGCCAAGGTCTGCCTGTGTGTGTGTGTGTGTGTGTGTGTGTGTGTGTGTGTGTGTGTGTGTGTGTGTGTGTGTGTGTGTGTGTGTGTCTGTCTGTCTGTCTGTCTGTCTGTCTGTCTGTCTGTCTGTCTGTCTGTCTGTCTGTCTGTCTGTCTGTCTGTCTGTCTGTCTGTCTGTCTGTCTGTCTGTCTGTCTGTCTGTCTGTCTGTCTGTCTGTCTGTCTGTCTGTCTGTCTGTCTGTCTGTCTGTCTGTCTGTCTGTCTGTCTGTCTGTCTGTCTGTCTGTCTGTCTGTCTGTCTGTCTGTGAGCCCAATGGACCCTGGTCAACAGTAGTGCACTATAAAGGGAATAGGGTGCCATTTGGGACAGCCCCTATATATCCAAGCAGTAACATGAGTAATGATACTAATGGTAAGGAAATGGTAACGATCAAACACACTCCTCTTCTTCAATTGATCATCATTTAAGGGAATAAGTCTTGCCGTTCTGCTTTTGTCCACTTGAATTAAAAGATACTAATCTATTCATGTTAACAACCTATTACTGCACGTTTCATCGGTTCAGCCAATCACTCACTTCTGCTGCTAATCTCTTCCTGGTTCTATGGAATCTTGGGAGTGGTCAGAACAGTTTAGTGATGACATCATTTAGAATAATAGAATATAATCGTTTCTTATAGAATAGAAACATGT